AACTTGTCAGATGAAATCAACCTTTGTTGAAAGAATGCATTGGTGTCAATTGGCAATTTATCACAAACAGTTTAATTAAAAAAATATTGGGGTAATTAACAGTGGTACGGATGATGCAGCTTGTCAACAATTGGCTTATCTTAATCTCATTCATATTAAGCTCTTTAGAATCTCATTTTAAGGCTTAAATCAATCAAACCTCTGAGAAACAATAGGATATACAGTGTTCAGTATGTATAACTAATTTTCAATGTTCTGTGTGAATAAGTGAATTTTCAGAATTTGTCCTAAAAGACTGTTCCTGTTTCCATTAGACAGGTGTTCCATATTACAGAGAGTGTCTGTTAACATGTAAGTCAATGGAAAAATATTTGGTTCTTTTAAAAACTGTTTCTAACAAGTTGGCTTGTCATCTGTGAGTTTATAGAGCTAGATGACTCCCTTGGAGTGATTCTCTGATGGTTTGTCCTGTAGTTGCATAGGCAGAAACTGATAAAAATGTCCGTCTGCTTTTGCATTTTCCTCTCTTTCTCTCTAAAATTTGAATGAAGTTCATTAATTTTGGACATTTTTATATAATTCAGAGTCTTCACTTTGTCCCTGTTAATTTTATTTTTTGTTAATTTCTCTCTTTTAGGGTCTAATTTGTATTTTGAAACGTTACTTTTGCGGCAAATTTTAAAGATTAGTTGACTCATTACTGTCATCAATCTGTCTTGTACTAGAGGATGTAATTACAAAAGGTAATTCCAGGTAATTATTAGAGGTAATTTGATGACTGAACATATAACTGTGATAGAAAAAGGTACTTGTAGATCATTACATTGGCGGAGAGCCTTGGAAATGGGGGTGAGATGTTTCCTTTGGGGAAAGACGTGAGCATTTTCACATGCTCGGTCTTCAATGCTCTCAAATCAATTTGAGCAGAGGGAAAGAATTAGGGAGTTGATGGGGTTTGACTGTTAAATCTAGAAAGCATGAAATGTGTAACATTTTTCAGAATATTAGCCTGCCCTAAAATATTAGCCTGCCCTAAATATTGAATCAGAAAATATTAGTCCAGAAATATTGAATCAAAAAATATTTGTCCAGAAATATTTTTTTTACTTAGAAATAGTATACAAATAGTGACTGCCATTGAGGGCAATAGTGTAAATTATTTCCCCGAGGGAATATCCTCTACAATGTACTATTCCCGAAGCCACAGGCTGAGGGAATAGTACATTGTAGAGGATATTCCCAAGGGGAAATCATTTACACTATTGCTCGAAATGAGGCAGTCACTATTTGTTTTATTATATACCCTATACTGACTCTTGTCCCGTTTCCTCTGCGAAGGCCAAAACGGCTTAGAAAGCCCACTCCCCAGGTCCATTGTTAGCATTATAAGCTGTGACGTCATCAGATGCTCAACAGAAATTTTTGCCTCTGAGACTCTCACTTGACAAATTCAATCGCGTTTAACATGCGGAATAGATTATCATAACACTTGAAATTACACAGACATATTGAGCTTAGGGAACTTTATACACGTTGCTTATATTGTATCGTTCACGCACGTCTGTCATGGTGAACGAAGTTGATTTGTGTTTGTGCTCATCCTCCATTTTTCTGTTTTTCGTCTGCACAGTGATGATGCGCAGACGTTTCCAAGGGTAATAGAACTTGCAATTGTGACGTCAGCGGGCAATAGTTCAAATGTATATTCCCGCTGACGTCACATTTGAGGGAATATTACTTTCCGAGGGAAATAGTAAATCTATTTCGGAACATGTGACTAGGTATTGACCAATCAGGATTAGTGTTACATATTGGGTATATTATAATGTCATTTGGTTCAGGCTATTAGTTTGAACATAGTACTATTATGATATGCGCCTGTAGAAATAGTTGTAATAAAAGTCAAATAAAATCTCTCGGTTTGGAGGCAGCCATTTCATTGCTTCAGTTAACCTTTGGTATTTGAGATCACAGATAGCAATTATTAGACAATACACCCATGTCCCCTATGTCAGGCTAAGGTACATAGATAGTTTGTTTAGTGTTCTTGTGTTCCCTTTATCTGGCTAAGGTTAGTAGATACAGGGTGAGCCAAAAAGGGTTGCCTAAACAAATGTTAGTTATAAACTCAGTCATTCAACAGGGTTTGGAGATCATGTTTTGCACAATCAAACCTTGTCCAATGTCATTTCATTCTACCAAGTTTCATTGGTCCATTCCCCATTGTCACAATGTTATGGCTATTTTACAAAACAATAAACCCATGCTGAAAGACTAAGTTATTAACATTTGTTTATGTTACCTTTTTCTCTCGTCCTGCATTTTTTTAGTTTTAGAAAATAAATTGATTTAGTTATGGTATCCCCTTCCATCTTCCCAGAATTAACTTTGACATTTCATAATGGTTCATATTTGTACACGATCCCTAAACATGTACATTAATTATTTTAGGCTTGTTACAGTTATACATGTTCTACTTTAAACAGATAACTGAACAACTTTAGCCTAAATGTCATCTGTATCTTACAGCACTCTAATTACTTAAGCCCTTGTTCCTAGTGTGACTAATAATTTTAAAAAATGCAAAATATGTTTTGTTTGGTGGGATTTGCTACTCCGTAAAATTGCTGTTTTTCTAGTTATTCTAGCCTTAAAAATTGTACATGTTCTACTCAAAACATACAATTGAATTATTTTAGCCTAAATGTGTTCCATAGTCATCTGTATCTTACAGCACTCTAATAACGCAGATGCGAGTAGGTAGTTACCAGATTCACCACCAGGTGGCTCGTTCGGGTCAGATAGCATGGCGGGTATAGTAGAAAGTTCCCTTTAACTTAAATTACATCTATTTGCGTGGTTCAATTTTCATATAACCCTTATGTATCTAATAGTTATGCAAATTAAAATATGTCCAGTAAAAGAAAATGTTATCTGTCCAATACAAGAAAAGATAATTCACTTTTTGTGATTTTCTAACATGGGGTCTATGAGGAATCAACCCGAACAAGAAGTCACATTTTCAAAAAAAATTAATTTTTAAAAGTTGATAGACAATTTTCGAAACCATATTTCTAGATGTACATTTACATGCGGATTTCAAATATGACACCGCTTTTACTGAATTTTGAATATTAATGACGTAAATCAAGATTATTTCTACTCGCATGTAGTCCATTACTTAAGCCCTTGTTCCTAGTGTGACTAATAATTTTAAAAAATGCAAAATATGTTTTGTTTGGTGGGATTTGCTACTCCGTAAAATTGCTGTTTTTCTAGTTATTCTAGCCTTTAAAATTGTACATGTTCTACTCAAAACATACAATTGAATTATTTTAGCCTAAATGTGTTCCATAGTCATCTGTATCTTACAGCACTCTAATTACTTAAGCCCTTGTTCCTGTTGTGAGTGGTAATTGTCACGCTCTCGCACTCTTTGATAAAGGTGTCACATAACCAGAAACAATTACTTTAATGTTATTGCACTACCAAGAGTGATGCAGTATAGGGGCGGATCTGGGAAGCAACAAGGGGGACCCCAGTTTCAAGTCTGATAAAAAATTCCACGGTTGCGCTTAAATATTCTTGGGCCCCTTAAACCAAAAAGTGGGCCCAAATTTTGAAAATTTAGGGTAAATTTAAGTAAAAAAATTGCCAAAAATTAAAAATAAGGCCTTAGAAGGCCAAGTAATGCCCAAAAAGACCCACTTTTTTGGAGCCTTAAGGCCTTTTTGTCCCAAAATTTTTATTGGGCCCAATTTTTTTTATTTCAAAGAAAAAGCATGTTAAAGCAATTGCAAAAAACAATTACAGTACAATTACATGAGTATTGTTTTTGTCTTTGAAGAAATGGATAAAATCAGATCTAATATTCCATCGCAATAGTCATGCCCCCATTGTCCTTCTCTCGCATATTGCAGATAAGAGGGGCTCTGGCATACCAGAATCTAACACTGTAAAAGACAATTTCACCTGGTTGACTAGAGTAAATGTTTATAAAGGAGAGGGTTGGCCAAAAAGATAAATAAAAGTCCCATCTCTATTATTTTACATGTACAGTAGAACCTGTTGCAGCAGAACACCTGGAAGTGGAACACCTCTTTTAATCAGAGTCCCAATACAAGCTAATTTAATGTTAAATGGAACTATAAGTGGAACACCTCCCAAGTGGAATATTTTTTAGAGGTACCAAAGGTTTTTTTCTTCTTTATTTTAGATTAATACTCTTAAATATACAATAAATAGGTTATCAAATATACCAGAGGTGTTCTACTTAGACAGATTTTACTGTATACAGTAAGAATTTTAATGAAATTACATCAAAACAGTATGAGAATTGCCACACTTACAGAGATAGTACAAAAAGTAGTAGTAGTTTTTGTTTTTATTGTATCTCAAATATTTTACAAAGAATAAAAATATCAGTTCTTATGGGACAACCCTCGTAAACTATAATTGAAGAACAAAGGAATTTTGGTCTATCCAGGATTAAAGGTTTTTCAGCTGAAATATATGTTTTAGATTATATGTTTTGGAGTGATGAATATAAGCTACTTTATCATTTAGTCTATCGGGTACAGTTAGCATACAACAAGATTTAATCACAATTTTGCTATATAGCTTTCAAATCTGAAAAACTACTTTTTAATGGAAGCATCAATTTGATTAAGGAGGGGTACCTTGACCAAATGGAATTTTAAGTTGTTCTCAAAGTCTCAACTGAGATATTTGGCTTCAATTGATTAATGCCATTTTCATAATCATGGTCCCTTTGACTTTGTCAAGGAGTACCTGCATTTTAATGACTTCAGTATGAATGGAATGTCTCAGAGTGTGATATTGTTACTTGAATGGTTAACATATTTTCTTTTCTCATAACTGGTGTTCTTTTAGATGTTTACTTTTTTTGGTGTGCTCTGTAACCAGTTTTGATTCTTTTCCATTGGCGCTTGTGTATGCATTTACATATTTATGACAATGTCACACTTGTATATTTTCAGAAATGGGAAGAGTGATCCATATTGTGTGATAAAGGTCGACAATGAAGAAGTTGCAAGGTTGGTAGGAAGAAACAAGAATATGGTCATAATTTAAAATAAAGTAAAATTAAATGTTCGAAGTAAATGCAAATCACCAACATTTTATAAGATTATGTATTTTTTTCACAAGTGTATTATTCAGATGAAACAAAAATCTAATTGTTGTATTTTACTCCATTTAAAATTTTTAGATTATGAAAATTATTTGAAATATTGACTTGTATCTAGGTTCAAGATTGTAATATAACTCTCATTTCATTCTTTTTAATTTAACAATCTACCAAATATCAAAGTAATTAGATGGAACAAACTAACTGAATTACCAGAATTGAAATGAATATTAAAGTATTTTATTCTTTTCTTGTAGGACATCAACCCAGTGGAGAACATTAAATCCATTTTGGGGGGAAGAATATATACTACATCTTCCCTTAGGCTTTCACAATCTGACTCTATATGTTTTCGACCAAGATTTTATGAGGTAACATTGTTTTAATAATTAGATATAGGAGATGTGTGTCATGAATATTTTGTGACCTCTGATTGCACTGCCCTCTATATTTCATTTCACTAAGAGTCGGGTTCATTTTTGCTATTTCACATTTTTCCAACAGTTATAAATGAATACAAAGAAAAAATTACAGAGAGAAAACAGGAGAAATTGTATTTTTGTATTGCATATGATGAGCATGAACTTGTGACTCTATAATAAATATATAAACTGAATACAGGAATACTAAATATTGATACGTCTGTTTGTAGGCTAGATGAGAGTATTGGGAAAGTGATGTTGACTCGGGAAACACTGATGAACTATCCTAAAGGTAGGTTGTGTTATTGAACAGACTCCATTGCATTAAAGCTTAACATTGAGAACTTTGATTGTTGCACCAGTATCAGTTATTGAAATTGACATTTCACTGAAAATACATTTCACCCAAGTGAACATTTTTGCATACAAATGACATTTCACCCATATAACATTTTGCATCGATTTGAAATAGAAAAGAATTCTAATCATATATTCTGTTAATGCCTATACATGTAGCTGATCAATGTTAGTCAGAATTTCCAAGGGAAAACTTTGGTGATGACCCTGTTTATTTTTTGTAAAATAAATCATGCACTGGTATATCTCAAAGAAATATGTGTAATCTGGTACCTAGAGTTGAGTCTGTCTTGCCCCTTCCCATAATTTCTTTTTTGGAGAAAAATATATGTCACAAAAAGTATGTCACACCTGTAAGTTAAACTTCCATGTAGGTTCATGTATGATTTTAGGTCTGGAGAAATGGTGGGGTTTGACACGTGTTGACAAGGACACAGAGGTCCAGGGAGAAGTACACCTAGAAGTTGGACGTTACAATTGTGATGGGAAACACTTTGTGAAAGTTAACATACTCTCAGCCAGGTAAGTTTAAAGTCCACATAAAGACCTCTTGAATACCAACACAAAATCTTGTTGTCAAATTTTCTCTAACAAAGGCTCTACCTAAACAATTGATACAAATTATGTGTTATTACACTCACTAAACACCATCGGAAGTGGTAGCATATTAATATGGTCCCCAACCTTTTTGTGGATGGTGTTCAGCTGTTGGTGATTGGCATCTGTAACAAATGGCAGGTAGTCACATGTTGCATGTTAATGGTCCATTCCATTGCATTGCAGAGAAACAATTTATATTCAATTTAGAGACCAATTTTTCAAAATAAGATGTTGAGAAATATTATCAAATTCCAGGGATTTAGCAGCCAAAGATTCATCAGGAACTGCAGACCCATATGTCAAAGTCTCATTCCACGATTTTCATCATGAGACGAGAAAAATCGAGAAGACGAGATTCCCAACATGGAATGTCGAGTGCAGTTTTGATGTCGATGCTCTTGCTGGTGCTAAAGATAAAGTAAAAGTGGAAGTCTGGGATTGGGATCGCCTTGGGGAGGATGATTTCATGGGACAAGTGAGCCTCTCTTGCATACCTCTCTTGTTTTTACCCATCAGTATTAGTAGTGGTGATAAAGAGGAGGTGATACTGAACCATCATTCAATGAGGCTTTTTGTAGAGATCACATGTTTAAAATGAGGATATTTTCATTGGTTGAGATGACAGTATCATCATCCCTGATTGGTCTGAATTATTGAATTGATGAGAGACGAAATTGATGATTTTGGATTTGTAAAAATAATTGAAATGATTAATCTGTGATTAATATTCACTGTTAGAATCTGCACCTTTAAGAAGCGTTTACACTTTGTAATTACAGCCATGTGATTTTAATACCTTGTTGAGCAGTATTAGACTATTTACCACATTTTCAGGTAGAATTTCCACTGTCAACTCTAAGTGTAAACTCAACTGTGAGACAATGGTTCAGACTTTCACCAAGATGCTCCCATAAGGATGAAGAAAAGTAAGACCTTTTTCTAATTCCAGTATTTTGATTGGATAATGGTGTACCATGTGATCAGAAATATCAACATATTTTACAACTCCCTCAATTTTGATTTAATTGACAAAATATTTTTCTGCTTATTGCCCTGCATGTATTCTGAACACAGAATGCTTGGCAATGATATAATAAACAAATATTCCATTCTATTGTTCTACTTCCTCGAGTGAAATATTTGCTAAATTCTATGTACATACATTTGCCAAAACTGCATAGCAAACAGCCAAGAAAAATAAATATCAAGAACCTAATCCAGTCATAGGGAAAGCAAACACCAAAATCCCAACACACCAGATGTTTAGACATATTGTTCTAGCGTCAATGGTTGGGATTAGCGGTTGGCAATTGGTGTCTGTAATAAATGGTAGGTAGTGACATTTTGCATATTGATGTCTTATATGTTTTTTCGTTGCGATATTGTGTTAAGTGAAAGTGAAACTTATGGAAGAGAGGACTTTCCAAGATGCCATATTTGAAATCATTACCCATAATGCAACTAATGTAGCAGACGTTTTTATTTTTCAGTTCCAAATTAGGCAGTCTGAGAGTGAAAGTGAGGCTCATGGAAGAGAGGATCTTACCTTCAGAATATTACAAACCACTTATAGATTTGCTAATAAATTCTACAAATATTACTCAGGTACATGTAAGGCCTTCAAAATTTGCAAAAATATTTTTAAAAATCAAGTTTAAAAGACCACCACTCTTATTTTTGAACCAATAGCAACTTTAATAATAATTTATGAATGTACATTGTCCAGTTTTAATGAAATGATCAACTCTAGTTCCTCTGGAAAATAATTTTTATAAGATAGATGTATTAATATCTATTCAATTTATATATGCATAAATGTACTAATGAAACAAAGTGGGTGCCAATGCAAAAATTCAAAATAAAAATTAATTGTTGAGAGAAAAGATAATTTTTTTTATATTTTACAAGTTCAAAGGCCAACAGTTACACTACAAAAGTACAAGGGGTGATCAATAAAATAAATACACAATGATGTTGAAAATCATTACAGGATGTGTCGGAGTACCCTACGCCTTTAATCATGTTAGATGAAGTGGCAACTCTAGATATGTTAGACATTGCTAACACGTTAGTGAGACTCTATTTGGGACAAGGAAAGATTGTGGCTTATCTCCAAGTCATCTGTGCACATGAAATACAGAAAACAAGTAAGTTGAAAATTTGATGTCCCATAATGCAATGTGTCGTTTGCAGACGACATTATTTTTTCCAGCAAAAATGGGCTTCAACATATGACATTAATGATGGATCTAGCCAAGTTTCTTTGATATAGCTAAGGATGACAGGATATACTGGAGGCTCTGATTATGCACAAAGTGGTAGAGCAATCACCCAGATAGCAATGGGTTCAGTCCCCTCTGTGGTGAATTTTTAAAAGCTTAGCACAGGAATAAATTCTGTGTTTTCATTAAAATGTGAACATTTTATGAACAGTCAAACTGAAAATAAATATAAAACAGAAAGTGACACTTGGCATTCTTAATCCATTATGGCAAGACAGTTTGATTTCAAATGAAATGATATCAACATCATGAGTGTATAAAGATCAAAATTACCAATACATTACATTTTACTGAGCCTTTATTAATAATATATATGAATCCATTACTATCAAAATGCTACTTGATCTGACACTAGCATACATATTATCTTATATCTAAGCGCCATTAGTTGTATTAATTCGTGCTAAATCATATTTTTGTTATACATACAGTACAATAAATTGTTGTATTTGTTGCTTATTATTAATTTGGCGATTTGTCAGTTACTTATAAGAATGAATGCCAATTTCAATATTTGTTAGTAATGTATGACAAGTTATCCATGGTATTTTTATGAAATCAAAGATACCGGGTATTCTAAAAATTAAATACTTGATATTCTAAAAATTGTAAATTCGCCAAATTGAATACTGCCAATTTGAAATAACTTCAGTAAATCCAGGGATGCACTATGGCAATTACTATCACAATACTTGGGGGTAATTCACATTCTACATTGTCACTGATTTTGCTTTTCTGTTGATGTTATAAATGAGGCCTTGACAAATATTATCTGTTTGCATGGCCATGCCTTGGGGCATCTTGACACTTGCCTTTTTCAAAATGTGTCACCATCAAAAGTGATGACATTTTTGTGGATGGTGTTTGGCATTCGGCATCCTGCAATTGGTGTCAGGTTTCTGTAACTTATGGCAGGTAGTGACATTTTTCAATTTAATCCTTGTTTTGTAAATTTGGGTGGGGTTGTTAGGGCCGGCACATCTTAAGTTGCTGCTTCATATAAACTCTGTCACCTTTTGGAACACCAAAAAATTGTGGCAATAATGTCAGTGGAGACGATTAGGTCGTTTAACGTTTATTACGACAATTGACGTCATTGTGCGTTAATTGCCAGGTATCGCGTTAATTGACGTACTTCAAATTCAAATTGATTTAGACGTTATTTTCGTTGCATTTCATTTCAGAAAAATACTTTTTGGTGATATTTATACATACAGATAAGCTTAATTTTTTAATTATTTAGCATACAGAAGAACATGGCTTCACTTCTTTCTGTTTCATCCAGGCTTTTATAAGCAGAAACACTATAGTATAATCATTTGAACAACTGACGATCAAATATCAGGATGGCTTATTTTGCGGTAAACACACGCAAGAGAGGCATCTGGGACATGTTTATTACAATTTGGGCAAGATGTTTTTACTTTTATTCGAAGCATTGGATAGATATCTTCAACTTCCATGTGGGAATTGTGTTTTCTATGATGCAATATTTTTTTAGTCGCGACTCCATTAAAAAGTCGCAATGACTCTATAGCATAATGATCACAGTCTCATTGCTTCGCCAATGAATTTCTATTATGGACAAATTGTGTTGGTATATTTTATTGAACAAAATTAGATTTCCATATTGAGGATGAAATTAAATACAACATTTTGAATGTTTCATCCTAGAATGGGCCCGTATCGCCGATTTCTCCCGAGTGCATCTGACTAAAATAAAGTCCACTTCAGAATTTAACGAAATATCACAATTAGAAGAAAAAATATAAATACGTTCTTCATATTTATGATGATAAGAACGTCTTTTATCATGTCCTTGAACAATTTTAATGATTGTTTTTCATTTAATATGAAATTTAATTATAGTAATTGCTGAATATACGTAACACTGCGAGTCGGATCCAATTCATAATTTATGATAATGATATACAGGTTAAAAGTCAGAAGGTCAGACGATTAGCCAATGAGGGTAGCTCAAGATTTATAAGTATAAACATTTAGAAGCTTTAGATGGGGTCTTCCGGGGGCCTGGTCCGGGGGGTCTTATTCATGTTCTTATTGCAGCAGAAATCTACTTCGATTTAATGATTAATCAATCTTTTAATCAGTATATTGCAAATATGTACTACTAGTTGAACATCGCATGTCATCTGTTAAAAATTGTCACCTCAATTCACGGGCTTTATTAGTAAAGGCTAAAAAGACAAACTATCAGGGGAGTGCAGATAGTATCTAGCCGATATCGTTTTTGAAAGAGGTCCGTGATTTCAAGACGTAAGTCTGCCAGTATGAATCGAAATATGTAAATGAATTATACAACTGTTTATAATTTATAATAGACGCTTTTTATCGATTCTCACAATTTCAAACATTGACAATTTCATCAAGAAGTACTAATGAGGTAGATACATTTCAGCCAGTTACCTTGGTAATGGGCGATAATAAAAATACGACCTAGCCCGTACGACAATCAACGTTCCCGCACGTTGATTATACGATTGCACGTCAATTGACGCGGTTGATTACACATGCGCAATTGAAAAACATAGTACGTCAATTAACGTAGTATCCGTCAATCAACTACAATGACGTTAATTGACGGGATAAACGTTAAATGACCTAATCGTCTCCACTGAATGTTTACAATTGTTCAGTTCCATCTCATGACAAATCATCTTCTCTCATCATAAATCAAATTGAGAAATTGTGACACATGTAGTAGCTTAGTAACCTAGATGTCAATAAATTCAGAAACATAAAGCTTTGTGCATGGAATTCATGTTATGTTATGTATGTCTGACAAGTGCACTAAAGAAGAATGAATCAGCCATGCCTTATATCTCCATCAAAAATTCCTCACAAGTTCTGGGACACCATACATGTGCAGTACTGTTTTGTGCATACTTTACAATTCTATACCTGACATTTATTGATTTCCAGAGGATCCCAATACACTTTTCAGAGGAAACAGTCTTGCAACAAAGTCTATGGACCAATTTATGAAGGTATGATATAACATTTGAAAAATATCATTAATTATCTATGGGTTTAATTTGTTTATTGTAATCAGAATTTGGTGCATGATAAAAAAGCAGTAGTTAATTAGAGGCTGAAATCTCCAGCAAATTTCCAAGTTATTGGTTCAGGAAATATGTGTGTAGATGTTTTGAACTTAGCTGGAGTAGTCCTGAATTTAATGGCCAGTTGGCCACCCTTTAAAATATAAAATTGGAAATGTATTGCATTTTAAAATGCAGAATTTTGTAAAAATAATTAAATGCCATTGAAACTATAGCATTAGAAAACATATTTTACTAATACATGATATGTCTCTTGAAAGTAGAATTATGGAATATATTACTGATCTTCTGCTAGATACCAATTGCATTATGGGATATGTCTGTTTGTAGATAGTAGGTCTACCATACCTTCTAGAGACACTCGGACCAATCATAGATCAGATGTATGAAGAGCATAAAATTATTGAGCTCGATCCATCTAAGATCTGTACAATCAAACGGTCAGTTGGCCAAATAATTAGATATATATTCAAATAAGTAAAGATAAATTAATAAAAAGTATTATTTAATGACAGAAGTGTATAATATGGACTAGAAATATACAATAAGAACAGATATACCATATAGAAGTATATTACTTGTATAATCTATTTCTAAATGACATGATATTATTTATTTTATAAATAAACCTGTTGTTCTGTCCATAAAGTCTCTACAATTATAATACAGCCCTTGTAAAGATATTATGGACACCCTGTATAGTTATAATTATTTTATAGTTCTGCATTTTGTATATTTCTGCCATTTATATATTTTTGTCCATTGTAAATTACTATGAAATTATTATACATTTCCATTTAATGCATATTTCTCTTATTATTGTATATTTTTTTATTGTGTATTTCTCTTAATTGCATATTTATGTCTCTTATAGGAGATATAGTCTGATCAACCAACGACAACCAGACAGAGAGATCATTGAACAAAGTGCAGATACTCTACGTGGTTATATAACAGATATGATAAGTCGAATTATGAACTCAGTGACGCGATGTCCATCTGTGATGCGATTGGTTTTCCAGCGTCTAATGAGCAGCGTCATAGATAAATGGCCCGAGGAGGAATGGAGGGTAAGAGGTCTATTTTTTGGCTTACACAATGAGCCTATAAGGTTTGTTCAGTCATCTGTCTATCAATCTGTTCGTCTATCTATTGGTTCATCCATCCATCTGTCCATTCATTCATTGGTTTGTCAATCCATCTGTCCATTTATTCATTTGTTCGCCAATTCATCTGTCCATTCATTCAATGGTTCATCAATCTATCTGTCCATTCATTTAATGGTTCATCAATCCATCTGTCCATTCCTTCAATGGTCCGTCCATCCATCTGTCCATTCTTTCAATGCTTTATCAATCCATCTGTCCATTCATTCATAGGTTTGTCAATTCATATCTCCATTCATTCATTGATTCATCAATCCATATGCCCATTCATTCATTCGTTTGTGAATCCAATTGTTCATTCATTCATTGGTTCGCCAATCAATTTCAATTCAATTTCAATTTGTTTATTTCACAAAACACATACAATATACATACACAATCTGTCCATTTATTCAATGGTTCATCAATCTATCTGTCCATTCATTTAATGGTTCATCAATCCATCTGTCCATTCATTCGTTGGTTCGTCAATCCATCTGTCCATTCATTCATTGATTTATCAATCCATCTGTCCATTCATTCGTCGGTTTGTCAATCCATCTGTCCATTCATTCATTGGTTTGTTAATCGATATGTCCATTCATTCATTGGTTCATTCATCCATCCATCTCACCATTCATTCATTGGTTCATCAATCCATCTGTCCATTCATTCATTGGTTTGTCCATCCATCTGTCCATTCATTCATTGATTTATCAATCCATCTGTCAATTCATTTATTGGTTCATAAATCCATCTGTTCATTCATTCAAAGGTTTGTCAATCCATCTGTCCATTCTTTCAATGGTTCATCAATCCATATGTTTTTTTTTGTTTTTTTTAAGGTTAAGTTTTTATTTATTTGCAATAAGATTTTACACTTGTTAACATACTAGGAAGGCCTAGGTAAAACATTACATTATTGGCCTCCCTTATATAAAATTTGCAAAATTAACATATATTTATAACGGTTCTCAAAACATGTGTCCTGTCTTTTGTAAGTGTTATATGGTCCTTATGGGAAATGTAAGGAATGAATGATAATGATTGATGAAAGATGGGTTGAACTTTGTCCTTATTATCATGAATTTTTTATAAATAATCAAATGATTTTGTCAATAAGATTTGCTGATAAATTGGTAATTTCTTTGTTACATTCATCTGAAAGTTTACAATCTCCAAAAAGCATAATCTTGATTTTACTAGCCTTTGTTAAAGTGGCAAAGTTGTTATAATTAAAACTAGGCAGCTCCTTCAGGTTTTGGGTAAAAACTTCTCTGGCTCCATTCGATAGAGGGCAATCAAGGAGTAAATGAGACTTAGTTTGCTGTTGATATCCACAGGGGCAACTGGGATCTGTAAACTCTTAAAAAATGTGTCTGTAAAAATCTGCTCTAGATGCCAGGTCAACTCGGATATGATTCAATTTAATTTCGATAGATCTTTTGAGGTTTAATTTTGTGGTCAGCACTGAACGGGGGTTGGGGTTATATTTCCATTTATTGTAACTTGACTTAAAGGCTGATTTTGAGGGACTGTTCTTGACGTCAAAAGAGATAGTTTTCCATATTCTTATTGGTGCAATGGCTGGTGAATTTGTGAATTTTGTGGATGATTTAGCAGGAATGTTGTATTCGTGCCGGGCACGAAGAGCACGCTCTACCCCAGAATTTTGAAGATTTCTGTATATGTTATGAACATAAATAGGAACTTTGTTTTTGGTAACCTTGTACATAAGGGTTGCAATTTTTTCTTGTCTTCTTTCACTTAAAGATTTCCAATTTAAAGCGGATAGAACTTTGATCTCAGAGGAACCCTTTATGGCCCCAGACACTACTAAGGCTGCTCTATAATCCATATGTCCATTCATTCATTGGTTCATCCATCCATCTGTCCATTTCTTCAATGGTTCATCCATCCATCTGTCCATTCTTTCAATGGTTTGTTAATCCATATGTCCATTCATTCAGTGGTGATATAAAAGGTTCAATTTGTTTATTCAAAAAATGCCACATTATCAAAAGGGTCAACTGTGTCCAAAAAGGTCAGCTGAATTTAATTACCCTGGGATAGATGAGTATATGATTTAATGATTTGTAGTCAATTTCAAACAGATTCCCTCTTAAATCCCCAACCAATACATTCCCTTTGTTGGTTACAGCATTTGGTGCAACTAGACCATGGTCCCCAGTTGCAAGATGGTGGACAATTATACAAGTAACCAGGGATACTTTGTTGTTCAATGATTTAATGATTTGTAGTCAATCTCAAACAGATTCCCTGTGATATCACCAACCAATACATTCCCTCTGCTGTCCACTGTTACGGCATTTGGTGCAACTAGACCATGGTCCCTAGTTGCAAGATGGTGGACAGTAGTAGGAGTAACCAGGGATACTTTGTTGTTTAATGGTTTAATGATTTGTAGTCAATTTCAAACAGATTCCCTTTGATATCACCAACCAATACATTCCCTTTGCTGTCCACTGTTACGGCATTTGGTGCAACTAGACCATGGTCCCTCGTTGCAAGATGGTGGACAGTAGTAGGAGTAACCAGGGAAACCCTGTGGTTCAAGCTGTCAACTATAATGATGTTGTCATCAGCTACACACACCCCACTTGGCCAATAGAGCTCCCCACGAGTGCCTTTAAATAGAAATAATGCTGTAGTGTTTTAAAGGTGCTGAATCCCTTAAATGACACAGTTCAACTAACTTGCATGCATGCACTTATAAGTTTCCCTTAGCTGGAATTTTGAAACGTAACTGCTGGCTGCCAGATTAACCTATTTACTTCATTTGCATCAATTAAACCATAATTTTTTTTGAAGTTGAAATAGCGATCACTGTAGGTCGATTAACAGTGATCACATGACTTTTGTGCCATAGAAAAAGAAGAGTAGAAAAGAGTGGACTCAGCAAGGAATGCATACAGGCTATTATGCAACAAAAACAAAATTTTCTATTTCGGGAAACTGTGACACATAAAATCGAATTCAGGAAATTAGATATTTCTTTCAAGTTTTAGACAGAGTTGTCGAGTTGTCAATTTGCCCGAGAGGGCTTGAGCACCGGCATGTTCGAGCTAGGTGTTTGGGCGCTGTAACCATGAGGTTGCGAGTTGGAGACGTGTGTGCTCCTTGTGTTTATTCATTTAGACAGAGAAGTGAAGGCTTACCATACTCCATTAGCTTCTTCCCTGTCCTGTCTACAACTGTGATGCAATTTTTCCACCAATCAGAGACCACCACATTGTTGTCATTAGCTACTGCAATATACCTAAGTATAAGTAAACAAATGTACTGTAACATAGAATCGATTATCTCAGTCTCAAATTGCTGGATTGTATTGTATTCTACTATTGTATTGTATTATTTTACATTATTGTACACTGAACTCAACTTTATTCTGTTGTACTGAAATGTAACACAATAAATTGAAAAATATGAAGCAAGAATTGTACCTAGGCCAGCGGAATAACCCTGGGTCAGTTGTTTTGTCAAGAAGGGCACCCGTATCATAATCAATGTGACAAATGGAGTTTGTCGTCCAATCACACACAACTATCTCATCCTCACTATTACGTCCTATCCCCCATAATAATCCAAGATCTGTTGTAATATCCCGTAAATGGCTACCATCTTGGTAATATATGTGGATGACACCTTTTTCACAGCTGCTACAGGTAAATGCGATACAGCTGTCTGAAACAGCTGTAGCACATAACATCTGCTTATTAATAATGTTGATCAGTTGTTGATTGCTTTTATTGTAAAACTCCACAATGAACCACCTTACGACGACTAACCTGGAATCGTTTATCACTAAGTCTCTAATCGCTACATCAAGGCTGTTGGGATTTACAAGTCTTGAACCATGCAGTTCAATCCGCTTTATGTTTGCTTTGAAGGATGTAGAGATTTGATGAGATTGATCGTTTAAAAATGCAGTATGTTGTTCTGCTATTGTTTCTTGACCAGATATATTCAAATTTGAGGTACTGTGACTTTTATTCTGATTGGACATATTCTGCTGACGTACTGTGTTGTTGGATGTTTGACCAGACATTCCACCTTGATGATGCATTGCACTTTGATCAGATATTGTACTTTGATTATGCATTGCATTACCCCTGTTAGTACCTGTGAACTTTGATCTTCTTTGACGATTTCTTTTTTGTCTTGCCTTTTGACCCCTTTTTATCCTTTGAACTGAAAGTCTGAATTGACTTCGCCTGGTATCCACCTGTCGATTTGCTCTTTGGTCAGTTAATGAAAATGGCCGCTTTTTTGTCTCTCTTCCATGCCTTACAGTTTCTTGACCTATTTCACTTAAGATACTTCTTATGCCTTGCCAATTTATTAAACCTGAAGTGCCTTGGCTTTCACTTGAGTTTACAGTATATCCCTGCATTGAATCTTGACTAGTACTAAAACATTGGTTTTCTCTTTGGCCTGCACTGAAGCCCTGATTTCCACTTTGACTTGCACTGAAACCATGATTTGCACTTTGACCTGCACTGAATCCATGATTTGCACTTTGACCTGCTCTGAAACCATGATTTGCACTTTGACCTGCTCTGAAACCATGATTTGCACTTTGACTTTCACTGAAACCATGATTTGCACTTTGACCTGCCCTGAAACCATGATTTGCACTTTGACCTGCACTGAAACCGTGATTTGCACTTTGACCTGCACTGAAACTATGATTTGCACTTTGACCTGCAGTGAAATCGTGAGTTTTACTCCTCCTTTGACTTAAAGTTTGGCTTTTAATTTGATCCCACTGTTTTTTTACATCTGATATTTGAACCACCAGTCCAAGACAAGTTTCAAGAAGTTCTAGATATCGACCGTTATCCTCAAGAAATTTCAAATGGGTCATCATGCTCTCTTGTTCAACTTTGGACAACTGGAGAATGTCAAGCTCATTTGGATCTGGTCGATTAGCAAAATTAGATTTGTCCTTGATAATAGCATCAAGGGTTTCCAAAATTGATGCTATACCTTCACGCGTGGGGTTCATTTTAGATTGTGCAGCTTCTTTGATTTTGATGATAGAATTCCTGTGATCATCATGTTCATAAGCTCGGCATTCATAGCATATAATACTATTATCAATCTGGCAGTATAATTTGAGGAGTTCATCTGGGTGTTTTTCACAATATTTGGACTTTACTTGTGCACCTTTTGATTTGGTGACTTTTTCTATTATTGTGTTGCGAATGAAGTCCTTTTTGAGTCCTTTAATTCCCTCAGATGGTAAACTTAAAAAAGGGAAAATATTTTGTGATAATGATTTGTTATGTCAAGAGAGACTGAACTAAGGTTCTTAGAAGAGCTGGTCAAAATGGCATTGCTGACAAGTTGCCATGGTATTGTCCTCTATCTAGGAAACATCCAATTCCAATTCAAAAATAACCTGGCAGTGACCAGTGGACCATCCCTTAGTTCAAACTCTGGATATCACTTCCATTTAAGTGCTGGCATATTAAACTAAGTTATAGGCATGTATAAAAGATTTTTAGAAAAATATATTTGAATTAATACAAAAATACAGCCATTTGAGAAGTGGTAACATGGCTATATTTTAAACCAGCTTTGGCATATCAAGTCTTTGTAAGCGTCTAAAATAAGTGTCTAAAACAATTAAGAAAGATTTATTCTTAAAAAGATGAGAAATATTTATTTACGTCGAAAGTGCACGGCATTCTGGACATTTGATACTATTCCGGAAACTTCTCCTTGCTATTTCCTGTAGGCATTGTAGACAGAAAGAATGGTGACATGGTAGTATCCGTGGGTCAGTTAGGTTTCCCAAACAGACCCTGCATTCTAGTAGATCTGTGAATTCATCATCATGGCTCGAGGATGCCGATGCCATAATGATCACGTGTGTCTTGATATAATCGAGTTGTTACTTCAGTGTGATCTAAAGTCAGAAAGAATTGGCTCAGCTTGGCTGTTTTTTTAATAATACTGTATGATATGATATCAAATGCTGAGCTCAACCTTTATGCGTTTATTGTACATTATATACATTTATTGTACATTATATATATTACCACGGTACTTACAGCTAAGCTTGGCTGTTTTTTTAATAATACTGTATGATATGATATCAAATGCTGAGCTCAACCTTTATGCGTTTATTGTACATTATATACATTTATTGTACATTATATATATTACCACGGTACTTACAGTTAAGCTTGGCTATTTCTAATAATACTGTATGATATGCTATTAAATGCTGAGCTCAACCTTTATGCATATCTGCATGTACATTATATACTCCATCATACTTACATTTCAGCTTGGCTGTAGGTTGTGCCAAATGAATCTACATGCAAATGATCCCATTGTATGCAGTTGATCTTTAGGCCATTTAAGATGCCAAAAAGTGTACAAAATCTGCTAGGCTACAAAACACAACAAAATAGTTCCATATATTGATCGGCAAGGTTATTCTGAATATCAATACTACGCACTTTGTTTAGTTAGTCAGAGTGTTTTATCTTATAGGCAGTGCTACAGTATATTGGGTTTTAAGGTCAACATCACCTTTTCATGATACAATTTAAAATAGTAGTCTTACATTCTTAATAAATGGTAAACATAGTCCATAGTACACTTTGTATTGAGTTAGAGGGCTGTTTAATATAATCTTTAAAATGTATTAACATACAGAGCTTTGTTGACATTTACTCTTTATACATACAAGAACTTTTTTATCATGATTCTTTAACTTTATTGGCACATATTGACTGCAAATATTTAAAAAATAAAGTTATAAAGTTGGAACTTGCATGTCTGAATTCATATTATGAAAAATTCTCTATTTGAAAACTTAAGCATTAATTTTTTCTTAGACCTGTCCTAAAGACATGTAAGTTTTGTGTGATGTAAGTTTTATTATCATATACCACCATCAAGGACAGATCAATAGTTTGTAAAGTGCTCAATCCAAGCTCCTGCACACACCGTAGTGTCCCTGTCCATGTTGTCATAATGAATTCTACTGATCTCTGTTTTAATATTCTTTTGCTCATCAATAGTTTGGGGATTGTTGTTCTTATTCACCTGTCGGTATGATATGGGTTATATCCTTTGGATGATATTGATATCATCTTTGTGATATTCCCCATATTAAATCCCTCCTAACTACTTTTTACTATCTCTCACTAAGTGTGAAATTTTATGTGGACTTGTTTGGTCTGCAAGTTTGGTCTGCAACTTAATGTCCCACTAGGGATATGCTCCACATTTTATAGGATATAAAGTATAATAGCCTTTTCCTTGATGATCTGTTTTCTCTCATCGATCTCCATCTCTGTTTCGTGATCCTCACTTGAAATTTGATCTAACTGACTTATACAAGTTTCAAGAAGTTCCAAGTAGCATTCATTATCCTCAAGAAATTTGATATGGGTCATCATACTCTCATATTCAACTTTGGACACCCGGAGTATGTCAAGTTCATTTGGATCTGACTGATAAGCAACATTACATTTGTCCTCTATAATAGCATCAAGGGTTTCCAAAATTGATGCTATACCTTCACGTGTGGGGTTTATTTTAGATTGTGCAGCTTCTTTGATTTGAAGATAGAATCCCTGTGATCATCATGTTCATAAGCTTAGCATTCGTAACATGGTATCAATCTGGCAATATAATTTTAGGAGTTCGTCCAGATGTTTGTCACAATATTTGGACTTCACAAAACTACAGTAGTCTTTATGTTTGACTTTGCAAATAATTACGCACAACTTCAAAAATGTCCCAAATGCCAAATGCAAATGTCATATTTGCATTGTAACATTGTATTTTTACCATTGTAACCAATAAGACCAACAATGCTTCGTTGAGGCCCTGTATTTATTTGTTGAATAGTATTATGAAATAAATAAATACATAAACTAAAAAAAATATGTCACAATATGTGCGATCTTAGGCTATAAGTGGTGATTTAGGAATGTATTTAATTTAATAAACCTTTACACTTCTTAAGATGATCTTTTGGTGTACCATGATCTACTACTTCCTCATTACTATTACTTACAATTCAGCTAATATGGGTGGCTCCAAATAAAATTACAAGTACAATGATTCCATTCCATTGATGCAGTACGTAGAACTCAGCGCCAATTCTAAGGTGTCAAAGTAGCATATCAAATCTGCTAGACTCCAAAAGATGAACAAAATTTATCTATTATCGATCGTCAAAGTTCTCGGAAGAAGGTTTCTCTTCCTAATAGTTAATGTTTTATCTTATAGGTGGTGCTGTGCTGTATTGGGTTTTTATATCACATCACTTTTTCATGATAAAATTAAGACTTACAGGAAATGAATCACATTCTTTAATTCAAAGGACCTTTTGTATTGAGCTAGAGTGCTGTTCAAAATGTATTAAAATACAGAGCTGAATTGACATGAAAGAACTTTTTAAGACTTGATTGTAAAGCTTTATTGACTATACATATTTGTACAAATGAAGTTGCATGTCTGAATTCACATTTTCGAAAAATCCTACATGTACAGTATATCTAGCCATGAAAAACCGAAGCATGTCAGGCATAATGTGTTATTTCATTGAATTTTTAAAAACATCCTTGTTGCATCTGATTTTAGGCAAATTTATATGAATATTAAGTAATCCAATGTTAATAAGATAAGAGATAGTACTTTATGTTTATGTTAATGTTGATAAAACTTGGAGAAGAAATTTGGAGAATTCAAACTACAGCAATTTTAAATTTTGCTAAATCAGTTTTCCTGGAATTGTCTTTATATTATACTTTATATTAAAACAGAATATAATGTGACCAGTTACAGCAGTTTTTCCAAATAAATGTGCAGCTTAACATACAATAGATATGCTTTGTATCATGGCTTTGAAATGTCATTTTTAATGATATTTAAAGAGATTTGCATTTTTGACCATTAAAAGCTACATTGTCTTCTATTTCATGATATATTTGAATTCTAGCTGTGTGAATTTTCTATTATATCAACTTTTATTTTCACAGTTATTTTCATTTATACAATTTTTTAGAATTTTTAAGTTTCCTGTAATAGGTCGGGTAAATTCCAATTGACCCAATGTTAACAAAAAACGTAAAAGTTAATTTACTCATTTAGGGATCACAATTTTCATGTTAAATCACAAGAGGCATGTCAACAAGACCATCTCATCTAGTTGCATCCCAAAACAGCTTTAAATTAATCCAATTGGAAATATTTGATAAATAAAGCCTTTTGTCAGGGATCTCCATATAAGTAATGGTATTCTGGGCCAATCAAATCTCTACTGCCATCTATTTTTCCATTTATAAAGCAACTCCACTTTTGCATTTTTTCAGTGTAGAGTATCAGTTTTATGCATCAATTTTGTGTTGACCTTTCAGTGCTAATTCTACACCAAACAAGCAGCTGTCTTCTGGAATGCTATATTTGCATCTTGTGCAAAACTGATTAGTGTATGTACAGTATAAAGTTATAAAGAATGTGCATTTTTTATGTGACTTTTACTTTTTTCAGGATTTGTATAATTTTTCAGGACTTTAATATTTTTTCAGGACCACAGATTCCTCTCTGTGTCTGGCTTTCTGTTTCTACGATTCTTCGCTCCAGCTGTGTTATCACCGAAACTGTTTGCGATGCGTGACGCACACCCTGACGCGCGTCTTAGCCGGAGCCTCACTTTGGCTGCAAAGGTGATTAGATTTTATTGATGCATAATTCTCAGTGGACTAAATTGATAATATATGGTATTTTACTTCATAAACCATTGTTTTTAGCTTTCATTCATGTGCATTATTTCTGATTCGAACATGACTGTATTCGCGCCTTCTATAAACTGTGGACAAAGTCAAAATTTCCCCCCGGGCATATTCGCGAGCAATACTCCTGGTAAAATGAGTCTATATCGGTCTATATTTCTTAGTTAGAAATTTACAGTTTACTGTTTCTTAATTTGTCGTTTTATCCTTTTTACTATTTTGTTAAGGTTACCATTTCAGGTCATTCAGTCGATTGGGAACCTTGGTGTACAGATTGGCCCAGCAAAAGAAAAGTGGATGGAACCTCTACATGATTTCATCAAACTCTGCGTGCCTGACGTCAAGGAATATTTACAACGTGTTTGTGAAGTTGATGGGAAGGCTGGTAAGTAGGTCAATGAAGGAAGAATATCTGGATCTTAATCATTGTTATATATTCAAAGATAATTATGTGTTAAAATGTCCTGATGAAAGATCAAATTTTAGAAGGGTTGGAAGTGACAAAATAAAGGAATTAAAAAAACTTATTAATTGCATTCTGTTAAGATTTTGTAATGATCATGATTAAAATACCATAGTACAAGGCAATAGATTTTTAAAGTGACAAAATCAGTTGAACATTTCAAAAAAACAGAAGCTGAAAGCATAAAGTACAAGTTTGCCCTTAATGTAATGTTTAAATAAAACAAATAACATAGATACAATGTATTTTATCCATAATGCAAGAGAGCATAATTTTTCAGAGCATATCACTGGATTGTATCGCAGACGGAGTACTTTCCACCCATCAGTCATAATGAAGGAGGGATATTTGGAAAAATACAGAGATGGTGTCAAATCAAACAAGTCTAAGAATCTCCTGAAAATATTCAAACAACGATATTTCTGGTTGAAATATGAGAGTCTCACATACACACATAAATCATCAGACCAGGTATTGTAATATCCAACATTTTCTGAGTTTTTACTTGACATATCCAATATTTTCGAATTCTGCTTTCAATAAACATATCCAACATTTTCTGAGTTTTTAATTTAATTATCCAATAACTTCTATGTTTTCAATTCACATACATTCTCCTTGGTTTAAATTAACAGATCCTTTATTTTCTCCTTTATGTTTTCCAACATTTTCCATTTTTTAATTAACATATCAAATATTTTCTGTGTTTTGAATTAACATATCCAAAATTTTCTGTATTTACATACACCTGTATCCAATATTTTTCCAGGTGCGGAATACAATCAGCACTTGCAATATTGTTGGCGTTGAAAAAGTTGACAAAAACGCATTTGGAAAAAATCACATAGGTCAGATTATCTACAGAAACTCAGATGACGATGCTCAATATGCACAGGGCAAACAAGGGTCAAGGTCAGATTGTAAAAAAACAGCTGAGCCATTTGAGACTTTGTATTTCCAAGCAAAGGTTAGTAAAAAAAAAATTTTAAAAATAACTCTCAAGAAATCTTATTTTGGATTTCTTCAAGTCACAATACTAGCATCACTTACACATTTCTGGTTGAATGTACTGGCGGATCAACAAGGGGGGGGACACATTTACATTTCAAATCAGCCAAAAAATCTTGCTGTCTAACATAAAATTTTTGGCCTATTGGAAATTCAAGGCCATTTTTTGATAATTTGGCCAAATGAAGGCCCAAAAAGGCCAAGTAATGTCCAAAAAGGCCCATTTTTTGAGACCCTACAAAATCTTTCGGGGGACTCTAAAAAAATTTTTGGGCCCACCTTAGGGGGAGGGGTAGGCCCCATGGACTCCCCCTGGATCAGCCAGTGGAGTACTACAATCCAGGAGCCTTTTTATCTTTCATTATTTGTCTCCATTGCAGAATGTGAATGACTTGTCCTCTTGGATTTCTTCAATTCGCAAGACATGTATCACAAACACGTTTCTGCTTGAATACTATCATCCAGGAGCCTTTTCTGGCAACAAGTGGACCTGCTGTCTAACAAAACTGAAATCTGGTGAGTGAAAGTCACAATGTACCTTACTTGGCCAATTAAAGAGCTTTGAAAAGGTTTAAAAGATGGCTCTCACATCAATGGCTTATAGATTTTTCATTTAGAATAAAATCAGTTCTGATTAGAAAAAGATGGCAGGATTTGGTTTTGGTATATCCTCTGCAAAACACTGTTGCAATCATATAGCTCTATGACATCTTTCAAGGAGCACTGCCTGATTTTCGGGTTCCTATGTCATCACCAGAAATGATGACATTTTGTTGGCCTCCAACTTATTTTTTTAAGTGGTTGGTGTTTGGCAGTCTGTGTCTGTAACAAATGTCTGGCTGTAACATTTTGTATGTTAATGCCTTATCTCTAAATTATATAGAAATGCCAGAAAATAAGATCAAGACAGTCCATCCAAAAAAGACACAAAATCAACATGACTCAATATTTTTCATATTACAGCTGATGGCTGTTGTAGAGCTGATTAACTTTCGGGCGGCCATCTTGTTTTTTGGTGTCCATTTTGAAGGTTTTTCGATTGTTTGATCTCGTTCACATCATGTGCCTTGTTTATTTTACAGCTGATGGCTGTTGTAGAACGCACTGTAAAGCAACCCTAGGAGACTGGAGAGACCCCTTAGACCCAGATGTAGACGCACAACTAGTCTATTCTCAGTTACAACGAGCGGCAGATGTTTTCAGGTTAGATTCCCTTGAACTCTTTAAGGGTTTTCTGGTTCTGTATTCTTTAAGGGTTATAAGGTTTTCATTTTCTCAAAGAGTTTTGATATCTGTTTTCAGATTTAACATGTCATGTACTTTTATTATTGAATTAATAAGTTAAATAAATATTGTAGATAGTGAACAAAATAATAAAGTTGATTAAAAATGTAATTATTGGATTGTAGTAATATGTTGATCAATTGTTGATTTTTTAATTTATTACTATGAATCTTCCCTTGCAGGAAAAAGTATACAGAAACAGCAATCGAAGTAACAGAAGACACTCAACATATGTCACAAAATAGTGAATGTGTGTCAAAGGATACTCAACATGTGTCACAGGAAACTGAATGTGTGTCACAGGATAATAAAGATATGTCAAGGGAAACTGATACAACAAATGCAAACATTTCAAATACTGAAAATGCAAATGCTGAAAGTGCAAATGCTGAAAATGCAAATACTAGTCATGATGTCCGCACAAATTCACAACGAGACATTTTGCTGGGACGTTCAATATCATATAAAGATGCTCAAATGGGAGCTGTTGCGGAACTCCTCGATGTCATATCAGACTTGGAAAAAATTCATCAGATTTTTGAACGCAAAGAAATGGAAGAAAAACGAAAAAGTATTCAAACTAGCTAAAACCTATATACCATGAATCTCCAAAAGCTAGCCTGAGTCTATATAATACCAACTAACTATTCCTGATGGTACATTGTTTAAATGCTCAGAGTATCTTAATGATCTCCATGAATGTTCAAATTAATTTTAAATTGGTAGGGAGAACCATGATTTTATGAAAGCCAGTAAATATAGGTCACAGTTCAATTTATCATGTTTGGTGAAAGTATATTAAAATATCACAAGGATAATTAGATACAGTGTCACTGAAGAAGGATTGAAATTAAGATCTCAGGACGTTGGTTGTATTTTTTTTTTACAAATTCTCACCCAAGTATTCCAAAACATGTTTTTCTGATTTTTTTTAGTTGGGTGCAAATGGGTTTTCAGTGGAAGTGCTGTAATACAAAGTTTTTATTATACTTTGTAGAAGAAACTTCCATTACTAAACCCAAGGTTTAGAAATGTTTGTTAAAGATACTTATATTTATTTTATTTTTTATATTTCAAATTGATATTATGTTTAAAAAGCAATGATTAAAGATAGTTTATTGGGGGTTTACAGTTCTAATCCAAGGGCAACTTTTGTTGTCATTTAAAACAACTAATTGGTTGAAGTTAGAGACTAAGAGAAGCATTATACATGTACGAGTAGTTAAGAATTTTTACATCGTATTTGACGTGTTATAATATAAATCCCATTTCACAATTATACTGTTCAGATATTTCTGAGATTCATTTTTGTTGTATCAATTGTTTAATATGCACGACATGCTTCAGTAGTCATTTTATATGTTGTTGACTGAAACCATATTTAGCACATCATTTTAGAGGTAAACTCTGGTATCATAAGTAGCCTATATATACAGATATCATTTCTTTATCTTGTTCATGAGTCACATTTACACTTGTACACTAGAAGTTATTCAATAAAACACAGGAAATATTATGCACAAGCAAATCTCTATTTTATGAGAGAATTGATATTATTGAATATTTTTGAATGTTTGAAATCAATGAAACAGAAAAGTACATGTATGCCTCGCTTGCCTGATATGCTTATTGATTTGCAAAAATGTTCCATTCATACGAGTGTTCACTTTACAGGGATATATTTTTATGACTGTTCATTTACAGTTATTAAATATAGAGTTGTTCCATTTAAAGAGGTGTTTTTTTTTACAAGTGTTTGACTTTGATAGAATACATAAATGTAGAATTATTACACAATACTCATTTTTACTGATCCACTTTATTGTTTTATAATTATAGAGTATTATATTTTAAAACACAACAAACAAATTGTTTACACTTTACATTCTTTTTGACTGATATGTTAAAATTTACAGTGCACATTATGTTATAATGGGTTTTATTCATATTATATTTATAAATATTATAATACTATATTTAGCTATAAATATATGCTTCTTAAATTTCATTTACAGTGTACTCCTTATATTTGTTCTTAAATTGAGACTATAAGTGACAAATTACTAGTAATAAGCACAAGCTTATAATAAGCATAAGCTTATAATAAGCATAAGCTTATAATAAGCATAAGCTTATAATAAGCACAAGCTTATAATAAGCCCAAGCTTTTAAAATATACCAAGTTACTCTTGTTATGTCAACACCAGAAGTTATGAAATTTGTTATAGTTTCCAACTTTTTGTGGATGGTGTTTGGCATTCTGAGTTCTGTAACAAATTTTTACAGCTTCCAATAATGTAACAAGAAAGTACTGTTTCGACTGACTTCAATCTTTTGTGAACATTAGACACATGTTATGAGTTCCAACACATTTCTGCCAATATATATTTCCATGGCAACAAATTAGTGGGCTTGTAAGATTTTGTAAACCATTTGCAATAACTTTTTTTATTGCCAACACATTCGGATATGATATATTACTACTTTAACATATTTTTGGCAGTTTGAGTTACCATGGCAATGGACATATGTTTCTATGGAAACAGATTATTTGTCTTAAAACTCTTCTCATGTAACTTCTGATTACTCTCTAAAATTATGTGCAACTAGTTGGTGACATTTTGTCATGTTAATGCATTTTTGAATTTATGAATCTGGCAACAAAGACTAAGGATGAGAGTTGAAAGGAATTTTCTTTAAAAATTGTCACAATTTGAAATTATTTTTGCTTTTATCAAGCCATATAATGCTTTTTTAGACATATTATTTTTAGAAGTGTTCATAACAAGCAAATTGTTTGAGTTACAATTTTTGATATACTGTATTTATATACTAGTATCTTTATCAGGTAAATATGTAGAGCAATACATTGTCCACAAAAGAGCGATACACTGTCCAATATCCCATCATTAGATTTAATACCACCCTCTACAAGGGGAATATGTGTCAATAATATTATCTCCCTCATGTATGTAATACACCGGATGCATAGAAGCAGTAGCACATGCGTGATAGGGGTACATATACAGCATGGACCCCAGTGGATATTTACTGAAATCTAGTGTCCCTTCTACGGCTTGGACCGTTCCGATTTCTTGCGTCATCTTCACAAGTTTCAGGTTTGGATTATTCTGGAACATGCAGAATCCCGTCGGGAGTTCATCTTTACCATCAAGGCTAAGCCCCTCCCATCCGCAGTCAATCAACAGGCTGTTGCTATGTGATAGATGGTTAACGACTCGTGTAGCAACTCGACAAGCGATGTCATCCTTTGTGCATGAACCTATCATGGCTTGCATGCTGTCGTAGAAGACATAATTGCCAGGATGTAGTTCTGTCAGGAGGTTGGTGTTCGATGGAGGATGACTAGCAGAAGGGGTAGAGCCTATCCCAACATTGCAACATTCAATTCCCGCCTCTTTCAACCGTTGTGCTAAACTTGCGATATTATCTACAACAGTGCCACCTATCGTTCGTAATTGATCTCTTCCTCTTGCATTATATGCAATTCCTTCATGGGTATACAAGCCTTGAAAAACAATATTGGGTGACTCGTTAACGCGAAGTATGAAATCAACGGCTGCCTTGTCATCCCATTTTACTCCATCTCTACCATAGCCTGTATCAACCATAACAAACACAGACCATTTTTTCCCATCATTCAAGGTCGAATCACGGAGAATATCCAGGTTATAATCGGAATCAACTGTAACATGAAATGACTCAAGTTTATTCACAAATCCTTGAAGAATCGGGATTTTATTCGCTGTAAGGGGATATGCATATAGAATATCATCGTATCCACCATCGGCAAAAAACTGGGCTTCCTTTATTGTTGAAACAGTTATGCAGCGCTTTGACCCATTCGTCATTATCTCACCCAGTTCTAAAGTTTTATGGGTTTTCATATGACAACGTAGCTGCAATCCAAGATTTTCACATCTTTCCCTCATTGCTGTGCAATTTTTCTTCACACGGTCCAGGTCTACTAAAAGACAGGGAGTGGGCACCTCTTGTACGGTACTTGGTAGATCCATGGCTGCTCTAACTGTAAATAGATAATGACTGATGTTAAAGATAGACTGGAAAAATCTCATATGTATTTGTTTGATAAATTCAGAAGTTCAAATGAAAGTTAGCTTGCAGCTTCAACATTTTCTACACATAACACCTGTTTTTCATGTATTCCACATAATACATGCATAACTGCTTATTAACAAGGGCAACATGGCTTAATAATAGGGGCTTAAAGGAGTAGTCTGTCCAAAAAAAATTTCTGTTGGTATACTATAGTTACTTAATTAGACAGTCCATTGATTACTATTTTCGTTCATTCTTGGTTTCTTATGTGGTTTATTTTTTAAATATTATAAGAAATCTGCCCCCCTCCCCTATGATCTCGGAAATGACAATGGTGTATTATGTATCATTGCATTGGAAAGCTTATTCAATTCTTAGTGAGCCATTATTGATAAAGAAATTCATAATCTAAAAACATAGGAGTTTGTCATTTCAAGTCAAAACTACTGATAATCTGAGTATTTCAGTAACTTTGACCAGCAGCTCTAATTTTTCTCCTATGGGGGTTAGAGTTATATTTTTTCGCTAAAACATGCCAAAAGTCTATGTGCAGTATGGCAAGTGATTTTAGACAGTCATATCTTATCGTACCATGAGTACTTTCTGGGCATAAATACAATGGTTTTTATTAAAACAATATGTTTTCTTTCAAGTGAAGTACCCATAATGATAAAAATGTCAATTGAACAATTCGAAAAATTATGAATAGGGACCCCATGTCAACATTTTTTTTTCAAAATGTTGAACCTATACTTAAAAGAGGATCTTCTTTTTTTGGATTTTATTGCATGAAAAGATCATTCAACAAGGAGTCTAAAACTTCTTCAAAAGTAGAATGGTATTGAAAGTCTAGTTTTGAAGATATCCATTTTCGATGACCAAAATTATGCTGAAAACAATGGATATAGCATGCGTTTTCCCTATGGGAAAATAACATGGGATGTGTGGTTTTTAACTTTAATGCATTTCAATCGCATCTCCTTTGAAGAAATTGTTAATATAGTTGAGAAGAAACTTTAGATATGTTCAAATTGAGAAAAACAAGATCCTCTCTTTAGAAAATGAGCCTAACATTTTTAAAAGATTTCCAAGGCTGGGTCCTAATCCATAATTTTTCAGAGAGTTTGATTAATATTTTACTATCATGGGTACTTCACTTGAAAGAAAACATATTGTTCTCATAAAACCCCCTGTATTGATGGCCAGAAAGTCCCATGGGGAAAGATATGACCGTCTAAAATCACTTGCCATACTGCACATGGGCCTTTAAGAAGAGCCATATTAGGAAGTCTCAGTTCAAAAGATAAACTACAAAAAGTTATCAAAATAAATCCTTAGGGGGTACATCTGCCCCCCCCCCCTAACCGTTTAAGGGTTAACATACAAATAAGAGCTATACAACTATACTAGATAAATTAAAAAAGTATGTACAGGTATCTCTCATATTCTCTAATATACATGTAATGCAATGCTAAAGTTAGCTGTTTGAGAAGCCATTTTGAATTCAAATCATGTCACAACTTTAATCTAACCGGTTGAAATATCACAAACCCATATATTGAATTAAATTTCGAATGTTCAAAACAGTTCAAGAGCAACATAGCACTCCTTTAAAAAGCACAACATTTACCTTTATACTATCCATATTTGAGAGATCTAAACCCCTAAAAACCATGTCTCAAAATCTAACTTACCCTTTAGCTTCGCTCTCCTATGCAAACACGATATATGAGGTGAACTAAATACAACCTGTAAGCTGCAATGACTTTACAGAAAGCACAATGTGTTACGATTGTTAACATATAGACAATAGATGACCTTTCATTCTCATTTGGTGACTTAACCCTTTAAGGTTTGGGGAAAATTAGTGAAAACTAAAGAGAAGTGTGGAATCGAGAAGGATGAGTGTCTAAAAGCACAAGGTACAGTATATAAGAGTTTCCAGAGATCATTTTTGTGAGTCATATATGAATTTGTAGCCAGATTTCCTGCAAAAAGTTGAAGTATATATAAAGATGTTATCAGTAGACTGATGGTTAAAGGTTTAACTATTAACTAATAATGACAACAAACATTTAAAGTCAAACATCAAGTGAAATACAATACATGTATGGGATTACGCCAATGGAATACAATGTATTGGATCTTACACCAGTGGAATACAATACATGTATTGGGTTATGCCAGTGGAATACAATACATGTATTGAGTTATGAAAGTGGAATATATTACATGTATTGGGTTATGCAGGTGGAATACAATACATGTATTGGGTTGTGCCAGTGGAATACAATACACATATTGGTGTATGCAAGTGGAATACATATGTATTTGGTCATGCAAGTGGAATACAATACATGTATTGGATTCTGCAGGTGGAATACAATACATGTATTTGGTTATGCCTGTGGAATACAATACATGTATTTGGTTATACCAGTGGAATACAATACATGTATTGAGTTGTGCCAGTGGAATACCATACATGTATTGGGTTATGTCAGTGGAATACAATACATGTATTTGGTTATGCCCGTGGAATACAATACATTCATTGGGTTAATTGAGTGGAATACATTACATGTATTGGGTTATGCCAGTGGAATACAATACATGTATTGGGTTATGCCAGTGGAATACAATGCATGTATTGGGTCATGCCAGTGGAATACAATACATGTATTGGGTTATGCCAGTGGAATACAATACATGTATTGGGTTATGCCAGTGGAATACAATGCATGTATTGGGTAATGCAGGTGGGATACAATACATGTATTGGGTTGTGCCAGTGGAATACAATACATTTATTGGGTTGTGCTAGTGGAATACAATACATGTATTGGGTTGTGCCAATGGAATACATTACATGTATTGGGTAATGCAGGTTGAATATATTACATGTATTTGATTGTGCCAGTGGAATACAATACATTTATTGGGTTAATTGAGTGGAATACAATACATGTATTGGGTTATGCAAGTGGAATACATTACATGTATTGGGTAATGCAGGTGGAATACATTACATGTATAGGGTTGTGCCAGTGGAATACAATACATGTATTGGGTTATGCAAGTGGAATACATTACACGTATTGGGTTATGCAAGTGGAATACAATACATGTATTTGGTTAATTGAGTGGAATACAATACATTCATTGGGTTATTTGAGTGGAATACAATACATGTATTTGGTTATGCCAGTGGAATACAATACATGTATTGAGGTATGCCATTGGAATACAATATATGTGTTGGGTTGTGCCAATGGAATACAATACATGTATTAAGTTATGCCAGTGGAATACAATACATGTATTGGGTCATGCCAGTGGAATACAATACATGTATTGGGTTTTGCCAGTGGAATACAATACATGTATTGGGTTGTGCCAGTGGAATACAATACATGTATTGGGTTGTGCCAGTGGAATACAATACATGTATTGAGGTATGCCATTGGAATACAATACATGTATTGGGTTGTGCCAGTGGAATACTAACAATACATGTATTGGGTTGTGCCAGTGGAATACAATACATGTATTGGGTTGTGCCAGTGGAATACTAACAATACATGTATTGGGTTATGCCAGTGGAATACAATACATGTATTGAGTTGTGGCAGTGGAATACAATACATGTATTGGGTTATGCCAGTGGAATACAATACATGTATTGGGTTGTGCCAGTGGAATACAATACATGTATTGGGTTGTGCCAGTGGAATACTAACAATACATGTATTGGGTTGTGCCAGTGGAATACAATACATGTATTGGGTTGTGCCAGTGGAATACTAACAATACATGTATTGGGTTGTGCCAGTGGAATACAATACATGTATTGGGTTAATTACGCCATGCACCAGTGGAATACAATTCGTGTATTGGGTTATGCGAGTGGAACACAATATTTGTATTGGGTTTAATGCGAGTGGAATACAATACATGTATCGGGTTACACATTATCATCGGAATACAATTAATTCATGACATTAGTATGTATCCAACAGACCGAATATGTTATGCGGTCTGAATTTATTCAGACGAAGGATACAGTCTAACACAGTATTACTGATTAGTTACATCTCATTACCAAATTTCTAGAATATTTCTTAACCACTCATAGAGTTATTCCATGTTTGTACGGTACACTATTTGGGATTACACGAGTCTCTAGCTTACAGCTAGACGAAACTTCATTGATTTCGTATGTACTGTGCTACACGCACCTACACGCACCAGCTAGAACTCATTTTTAATAAATTTTATAAATATTTTTAAGAATATTGATCATATTTAGGATGAAGCGTTGCTTGTCTGGATTTAGATATTTCAAAATTTCATTTCGGAGTTTGACACATGGTGAAATTTTCTCGCTGTAGCCATGGGCTTTCAACTCTAGTTGGAAGCCCATGCTGTAGCTAAAAATGGGTTCCGGTTCTGGACGTGAATAACATTTGAAATTATTCTCGCTTAAAGAAATCAAATATAACAATAGATTCAGACGGGGATGTGAGCTGATGTTCTTCAAATCTATACATAAAGGTATATTTCATATTATTATGCCATATTTACTGTGCGTGTGACACAATGATTTACAATATTTATAATACTAAGGCAGCTCAATCTTCCTCCTCAAAGCCGGAATATAGAGAAGGCTTTGGACCGAAGTAAATTTGGGACACCCTGTACATAAATCTATTACTCAACCTTACTTCGGTCCAAAGCTAGGGACTCGAGTAAAGTGTGGCATATTTTATAATAAGCTAAATTTCAGTTTCTGATCTGGCCTAGAAACTGGACAATCACCAGCTGAACAACACGTTCTCTATACATGTTTGTTTTGATCTATATTTCCCAGGTGAAGGTCGGCTATTAAGGTCACCAATCTGCAGGGTTAGAAAAATTCCTACATTTAATTTCATTATAAAAGATCTTCGGGGTACAATCCCGGGTGTATAATCATTGCCATATATGTTTAGCATAATAAATATGGAAATATTTTGATGTTCCATTGTGTATAATTTTAAGGGTTTTGGAAATTAGAAAAAAATTTAATTAAAATATTTTTCAAAATTGTAACCCTGTTGTGGACTGTGGATTCTCTAATTGATAGGGCAAATACAGCAGCGAACTGGCTTCAGATATAAAACCGAAAAACAAGAGGATGGGCTAATAAACAAATGATGCAAATTAGAATAAGACAACGAAGTATATGAACTAATTGTAAGTACAACTTTCTTTGTTTCTTCTATAAAGTGTAGGTGTATGTGAGTTTATGGACTGAAGGCCCATAGAATCTGTACACAAGTGCTTGCTAATTAGAATTTCTAAATTTCCAGGTTTTTGTTTTGCAAATATTTCAAGTTGACCACCTTGAACATTACTTCTTCCAAGGCTGTCTCAGAACTGCTTGGGTAGAGACTGAGTAAGTTTCAACCAACATGCAGATTGCAGGCCTGTCAACTGTCCCGCAATTTGCGTATTTGTCACGCATTTGCTGAAGAATTTGAAGTCACGCCAGTTTTTTTTGCGTGACAGAAAATGTCACGCAAATACGCATTTTACCTGGTAATTGTCCCGCAAAAATATTTCTGTAGAAAATGTTTCAAAATATGTTGACGATTCGGTAAAAACGAACGCAATTTGTTCGGATTTGTCACGCGAATCCCGTATGTGTCACGCATGTTAATTGGAAAAATTCGTACCTACCCCCCCCCCCAACCCCCCCCCCCCCCCCCCCCCCCCCCCCCCCCAATAAAATAAAAAAGGTGCTCAAATTGTGGCCAAGATGTTCAGATTTGGACCAAGGTGTCCAAAATTTGAAAAAAGGTGTTCAACATTTGCAAGTCACTCATGTTAGGTGTCCCCAAGTTGACAGGCCTGAGATTGCTACCTATTAGCCAAAGAAGCCAGGATTTACGGTGGGAGCGGTTTTACCAAGGGGGAGTTTTTGCCAAGGGGGAGCTTTTTGACAGTTTTGGCATAAAATCATGCGAAAAGTGCTTAGAATGGTGAAAAACTGCATGAATTTGAAAGAGGGAGCGGCCAGCCCTTATCTCGTTCCAAGACTATATCTCTACGTTCTGAAATGAAGAGGATGGTGTTGGATAAGCCTTTTCTACAGGCCTGGTAGACCTTTATCAGCTAGAAAAGTTATAATTATTGGCTACATAGATATGGAATGTACTAAAAACCCTTCGACCTACGACCCTTCGACCCTACGACTTACTGGGTGTCAAGAATTTTTGGAATATATTTTAATATTGAAAAACCCTTCGACCTCTGATTTCCCAGTCCAGTTTACTAAATGATTACGTATACATGTAGTTCCAACTTGAGCTCCCTGTAGGATTTAATCTACCTACAGCTTGTTAACTGTTAAAAATAGCAAGAACATTACTTCGACATATGAGTGTTACCTGATGAATGGGACCCTCACACGCCTTCCAAATGGTAGTAAACGAACTCTAGTGTAACTACATCAGCTTATCTTTCCGTCTGATCAACAATAAGTACAGTTATACAAGAAATGTAAATGAAGTGAAAATATTCCCAAAAATTTTCCGAAAGGCATGTCATTCCGGAAGTTATGATACGTTAGGGTGTCACTACGGTAAATCATTGAAAAATATTGAAAAAAATCACAAAATTCAAGCTCTGGTATGAGGTTCCATATCCATCCGCCAAAAGGTATATAGTCCATTTAAAAACTTGTGGTTTTGTACTAAATAACGCCATAGTTGACTTCTAGGGTACCTAGTATGCCACTATTTTGTATCAAAATATAGAGGAGGAGTTCGACTTTCATTTAAATTACGAAAATAGCGATGTAGGTCAAAATATAGTTCCGGCGTGAGCATGTTTACTACGCTGATATCTCAAAAAGTAACCGGACTCCCTATAATTTGATGTAGATCAATCGAACCCCTATATGAACAGGTACATTTTGATATCTAACACTATGGGGGGGGGGGGGGGTGGTAAGCGTTTTATGGTTGATCACGAACGCTATATGTGTAAAGTATTGTTCTGAATTTTCGAATTTGGTGTTGGATTACGGTACTCACACCTTCTGGGGTACATATCGCCATTTTCGAACAAATAAGCCCATACAATAACTATATTTCTGCAATCCCCTATACATAACCTTCATCTCGACACTATATTTAACATAGGGTTTGGGTCTGGATTTTCAAATATCACTACGCCAACATAGGGACTTATTTTTAGGTAAAATCTCTGCTTCACCGATGAAAATTAACGAATAAAGTAGTTCCTGTTTACGGGACCATATTCTTGAGATTTTTTTCTAAAAATGGCACATTTAAAAAGAACTTGGCCCCTGCTTTACATACATACCTCAAATGCCCACAGTATATACACTTAAACCTACTATAAACACCATTGAAGTTGGCATAGCTTCGTTTTTAAAGTTTTAAAAAACACCCGGAAGTGGTATTTACCGTAATAACACCTTATATTACTGAACATGGGTGAATTGGAATGTTTGTTCGATGGCATTATTACACCAAAAGTAGTGCGAAAATGGCCTTTTCACGTGTTGGCATAAAGTTTTGATGACATTTAAAGACACAGTTCCTCCTTCCCGTACATTATCTCATGGAAATTGGCATACCAGCGCAAAGATCTTTGTTTTGTGGTGAAGAAAAGCTGTCAAAAACATTGTCTGAAGAGCAGATTTATCTCCGTAATTCAACTTTTAGCATGGCGACCTCGACCTTGAAAAAATATAATAGCCATTTGGGCGATAATAGGTGATTCAAAAGTAAAATTAATGCTTTTTCGTAGTTCTACTTTGACCAAGCCTAGAAAAAAATCGAAGTGGTAAACCTACCCCCAAATTTTTTGACAAGTGTTCTAGATGATATCAAAGTTTAAGAAAATTTGTATATCTAGAAATATTTTAAAAATTGCCATTATGGTGGGTTTGGGTGCTTTTTGCTCTCTTTTTTAGCCCATTTCTATGGTTGCCATGGCAACTATTAGGTTTTGGTAACAGGCGCGTATCGTGGTCATTTTGCAAGGGTACGCCCCCGTATGTGGATGAATAATGTGTGAAGATGAATGCGATTTTTGGCGTATGATCTTTGGCCAAACACCTTCAATGAGAGTTTGTTTTCTCTCTACAGAAGTAATACACTCCCTTAATGAATTTGCATCGATAATGTTGTCATAGCTGGGGCTATTTCTGCAATAGACGTGGTATTAATTAATTGATTAGGAACCCGTGAATTAAAGGCCCCCAAAAATAAAAACACTACACCAGACGAAAATAGAGAAAGTTGTCTGCACAAGGTCGTGGGAATTTGGAAATGCTCTACACATAAGGGCTTTATTGGCTTAATCAATGTAGTTAAAGGGGCAATAAGGACTGTAGAGAGAAAATTCGAAATTTTTTATTTTTTCTGAGCTATCAGGTCAATATTTGGCTTAATACCTTCTTTGACATACCTATTTTCATAAAATGTATGTATAAACTATCAATTTCAGCATTAAGAAGTGTAAATTCAATTCAAAGCTTCTATAAAGGGAGTCCCACTTATAGATTTTTAAGATCCACCATGTTTCAAGAGGAATATCAGCTGAAATAATGTTCATCCAGAGGATTTCTTTGTAGATAATGAAAATATATGTTAGTCTTGATGAAATATCCAAACCTAAATATATTTTGACACTTGTCGATGATCGTTGAATGGCCCCCCTGCACTATTGAAGCTAAATCCACTTATCGTACGGTTTAAATAATTAAATTACATTCTTACATTCAATAATGTCAAGTGATACTCCGGTTAAAACGTACTGAATTTGCTGATTTTGAGCGTGTACTCTACCGGGATTCGCCATCATACCCCATACGGCCTTGAAGAAGCGTACAAGAATGACGCAACTCTTTGAATCACGAAAAAATTTGAATCTTTGAATCACGAAAACAGTGAATGACAATGAGGGAATCGAGAACTTATTCAGCGTTAATACACTTGTACAACAAAGGTTTACACATCATCAAAGACAATAACAGTAAAATACTGAATTTCATGTTTTTTTCAAAATTTTTTTTCAAATTCAAACAGTACGCCTGGGCGTATTTTGCGTACATGACGATACGCGCCTGGGTAACCATATCAACTTGATTTTTCAAGGACATCCGAACAAACGTTCCATTTTCACGCATGTTCGGTAATATAACGTATCATAACTTCCGGAAATGACATGCCTTTCGGAAAATTTTTGGGAATATTTTCACTTCGTTTACATTTCTTGTATAACTGTACTTATTGTTGATCGGACAGAAAGAAAGATAGAAAATAGAAGGTCGAAGGGTTTTCATAAAAATATATTTCAAAAATTCTTGACACCCTGTAAGTCGTAGGTCGTAGGGTCGAAGGGTCGAAGGGTTTTTAGTACATTCCCATAGATATGTATGTTAGACAGGGCTCTGATGAGTTGGACTATTGTTACCTTCTTCTAAGGCCACTGTATCGTGGCCTTCCAGTACAGATATATTCCTGCATGAACAACTGGTCATGTCGTAATCATAAATTTGAAATCATATGTCAACCATTTTCCACATCACAATTTGAATTGCGAGTTTTGGTCTTATTATTTATTACCTCACCAAAATCCCAAAACACACATAAAGTGATCAGTGTATTAGTTCACATCTTCCTGATCGCTCACTTAGAATTTACAGCCGGTTACTAATGTCAGACATTAACGACATTTCATCCAGTTTTCGAACATCGCCATTTTTCTTGGAGCCATTTTGTTTTGATTTTAGACGAAATCCTGATGAAATCATGTCATATCTCATCAAGGAGCCGAGCTGGGTCCCGTTTGATTAATGATTTATTTATCTGGCGATTTTTTAAATATTCAATAAATTTATGACACCCCGTCCAGCTTTTTTCAAATAGAGTTCACAGTATTCAGATGAAATCCCCTCTAGCCAAGTATTGGCTAGAGACTCGAGTAAGACTATTGGAGTTCTGACTTACATCAGACCTTCTATATCAGATTTATAAATAAAGACCCTACAGGTGCATCTATGCATCTATATCTATGTTAACAGTACTAACTACTCACTGCCGATGACCCCACTTACGTTGTGGACTATAAGTCCTGGAATTGGATAACCGATGTGATATTGATATACATGTGCAGTAAAACCTGTCTAATTTGAACACCATTGTTACCATGGCATT